GGGTTAAGATTAGGTACTGGCCTGGGAACGGGTCTTTAGACCACGATAATAAGAAACTGCACAAAAGGGTTAAGATTAGGTACTGACCTGGGAGCGGGTCTCTAAACCGTGATAATAGTTATAATTGACATTTGACAACAATGGAAACCGATTGTAATAAGCTGATCTGGGAATTTGTGAAGCATCGTCATCGACATCGGTAGGGTTATTCGAATACACGACCGGTGGCTGTTAAACGTCGACAATTTGAAATGTGCAAGAAGATCCTTTCTAATTTCTCGTGGTCTGAGCGCTAAGAGTTACAAGCCTAACAAGGTACTAGCTACGTTGCTATATCCTAGCTTGCGTTAGAATAATGATGGAAGCGTGCTGCGTTACAGCACTAGAGTATTAAGCACAACATGTAGACAATTTCAGGTGTCGGCTGGACCTGTGACTAAGGGGAATACACCGTTAAGATCAGCAATACTGTTTGGTCCGCTTACTATTAATTTTAGACAGGGGGAGGCGAAGTGACGTATTCGGACGATCTTGTCAGACGATCTTTACCACGTGCCCTGTCTCGCCTAGGTTTCTGCAAGGTATCGGTTAAGGTAAACGCATAGATCTAGGTAGCCAAATAATGCTAGTTATGTCTATACTAAATAATTAGAGTATGTTCACGATTCATGAGGGGAACATGAGGGGAGTCCGCCATGTTCAACGACGCCATGGTCCATGGTCGCCATATTGGTTTGTGGTGAGACGCGCCTCAGAAATTTCCTAGGTTTTTTTATGTTAGATAGGGACGCTACAAATGGTTACAACGGTTTATGCTATAGAAATCATCAAAATTATACTCAGAATCTAATACACTGCTAGCGGACTGCTATAATAATTAAGGGATTACTACTAGGCACTCAAAACAAGTGGTTGTTACTCGTCCGCCATGTTCAACGACGCCATGATCGCCATATTGGTTTGTGGCGAGACGCGCCTCAGAAATTTCCTAGGTTTTTACGTTAGATAGGGACGTCACAAATGGTTACAACAGTTCATGCTATAGAAATCGTCAAAATTATACTCAGAATCTAATGCACTGCTAGCGGACTGCTATAATAATCACATCGCTGAGTGGTCACGGGGTTGTTATGGGATTCGATGAGCTTTCGTAATGACATATGGGTTAGCCGAGGTAGAATGGACACGTTACTTTATATTTCAGGGCAAAATGGTTACAACAGTTTATCGTTCTGCGGTTGGCACACAATTCATATAGGTAAATGGGATGTCACTTAAGGTTACTTATCACTAGTAGAAAGTCCACGCTGGTCCGGGTAAGATCAGCACGGGTGTTTGCGCTATCTCACTGCAGAGCAGACTGAGGCTTGGGTGTGTGCGTGGAGCGTCCCAAACGGGGCTTGCTTGTCCCGAAGAAAACGGAGTGTCGTTTGAGGTGGACTATGTTAAAGTTCTGCCGGGTATAGATGATATAGCTGAAGGGTGTGGGTTGAAACTGACGAGCGTCTCAGAGCGACGTCACAGTCTAGCTACTGACAAACTGGTATCGACCCACGCGCTCGCGAGTTAATTATCCTCGAGAGTTATTTTAACTCATATCAACTTTCACTTATCATTATTTGACCAAAGGATTATATTATGATTCCATTTTATTGTGATATATTTTTTTAACTATTTTTTTGCATATAGACGTTCTTTTCAGCCTATTTCTTGTACATTGTAAACGGGGTGTTGAGGTAAGCTCATTTTAGCCGAGTTACCCCTTGCGGGAAAGTCGTGTGTGCTCAGTGTTACTGAGTTGGGGTGCACATGTTTCGACTCGAATTGAAGTAGCCAGATCTGGGCTTCCAAAAATAAACTCCACCTTAGTTCGAGATATAACTCTTAATGAGTTCCTCTAACTCTGACGGACTAATAACGGCATAGGTGGAGGGAGTGCTTGGTTAGTTCCAGTTGCTGGTAGCGCTCTGGTACGGCTAGTTCCTGTGCCGAGTACTTCTCGTGTTGTGGGGGCTGATAACCTCTGCTCTCGAGTATATTCGTCAGCGTTCTGGTACAGCTTCTGCGGTACCGTTCGCGCCTCTCGTGTCGTGGGAGTTAACGCCTTCCACGCTCGAGAGTAATCGGAACTTCGCAGTGCATTAGGGCTAGAACCCCTAGTCTCTGCGGCTGGTCGGCGGCATCGCGGTGCGGTTAGTTCCCGTTTTTGTGATTTGGCAGCGTATTAAGGCTAGAACCCCTAGTCTCTGCGGTTCGTTGTTGGCATCTCCATCCAATAAACTGCTTGGGCTGATCAGACGCTCCTACGAGTACCTAGATATAGAAATGATGAAGCTGTTGTTCACCTCTGTCGTGCGCCCAAACCTAGAGTTTGGAAACGTTGTGTGGTCACCGAGACTTGAAAAGGACAAAAATTTAGTTGAGAGTGTTCAAAGACGTGCAACAAGGATAATACCAGGAGTAAAGGGCAAGTCTTATGAAGAAAGATTGAAGATTATGAAGCTTCCCAGTCTCCGTTATCGTCGCCTGCGTGGTGACCTCATTGAAGTATACAAGTATACTCATGGTTTGTACAAGGTCCCAGAAGGATTACTAGAATTTGAAACAAGAACCAACACCAGGGGCC